ATGCTGGCTGGGGAATTCTGGGAGTTGAAGTCCACACATCTTAAAGTTGCTGAGTTTGAGAAATACTGCAATAGCCTATCTCAGTAAATATAGTTCTGCTCATGCTGTGGATCCTGATCAGGTCAGCTTCAAAGGGCTGACACAAGCAGTCCCAGTCCTGGTCATTGACAGAATTACTAATAGTTGCCTTGATGGCAGGAAACTAAAGAACAGAAGTAATGCAGAAGAATGTTTTGTAGTTCTGCCAAATCTGAGCTATAAAAATCCAGATGATCATGAGATAGCAGCAAAGAGTATAGACAAATCTTCTTCATTAAAAGGTCAGGAACTGAATTTGGGATTGTCAAAAAATAAAATAAAAACACATATAATATTGCTGTGCTATCAAGCTACAGCCATTCCCTGATTTTGAACCAGGGCTTCAGTCTGCTTAGTTGCAGCTAGAGGCTTTCAGACATAAAACAAGGATTGTTTTTTTATTAGGGTGGCCTAAGGGTGCCACGGGAAGATATCTGATATAACCCAATGCAAATTAGACTTTCTAAAACAGTATGAACCATTGTGGTACTTTTATCTATTTGTTTTAAATAATTATTAAGTTCTCTCCTTCTCTTTAGATGGAAGTGTGTGTATGTGTGTGTTGTATACTTAACTTAGTATAATTAATAACGACATGCTTGTTTATCTGGAATACGTTGGCTTACATGTGAGTGGTTACATGGAATACTGGCCTACAAATTGATCCCATGCCTTTAAATTGTTAAAGGGCTTTGAATTTCCTTTTTAAGATTAGTTCAAACTTCAGCGAAGAAACTTTTAACATCCCTAAGGAAGTCTGCCTCTCATAACTCATCTTTAGTGGCTAACACCCTGATTGGCTGTGTAAAAAAAGAGAGAGAAAAAAGAGGACTTTAACAGGAGAATGCTGCCTGCCTGTAAAACAAGTGCATAGGCTTACCAGCCGCCTGGCCAAAGGAGGACATGTCCTCCCTTTTGTCCTCATGTCCTCCGTCCAGCAGGCACAGCCTTAGAATCAAAAATTGTCTGGCTTTTTGAGTATCTAACAAGCTTTCTCTTCCTGAGCAGCTTTTCTCTGCAGCCTGGAGCTTCCCTAGTAAGTGCTAACTGCAAGTGAACAAGCTCAGCTTTGTGACCTTGATTAGTTGATGAGTGCCTCCTAGGGCTGGCTTTGCTACGTGAAACTGACAAGACCTTAATCAGTTACAGGCTGAAGGCTTTTGCCACCTCATGGACTCTAGCCCATTCCTATGACTGGAAAAAAAAAGTCTAGAAAAAGTAATTTCATATATGTGTAGGCCTAAGTACTTTTTCTGGGGGGGGGCAGTTTTTCACTGCACTGATTTTTGTCCTGGATGCCAAGAAAGTAAAACAGTTCATCTGTCCTCCTTTCCCATTTGTCCTCCTTTCCAATTGTCCAGGTCCTCCTTTGTCTGTTCCAATATCTGGTAACCCTGGCCATGCAATGTTTTGTATCTGATCTCAAAGTGGTCCAGAGCATGCAAAAACTCAGACATGGTACCTGCCTGTGACATCTTAAACCAGATGCATTTTTTCCTGGGATTATGTGACTGCCCTTTTAGCATGGGGTGACTGCAACTCCTGCTTTCATCAAAACTATGAAAGTGGCATCCTGCTGGATGTGTGTGCAATGTCACAACACAGGACCAGGTACAGGACTTGAAGTGGGACAGCACAATGCTACTTCCCTCAGACCAACTGGTTGGATCCCCTCCTGTGGATGCTGCTGACTTCTAGAATTGAACCTGAAGCCCTTTATGGACCTACTAGGAGCATGTTAGAAGGAGAAAACATGCTGTAGGAAGTGAAAACAGTTTTTAGATTAACATACACACATTTCCTATTCATTCTTGGTTATGGCTATTCTCACAGTACAGGTCAGTTGCCCAAATGATTTTGAGAGCTTTGATTCTTATTTAAAAAGTACAGGTGGGCAATATATCTCTCTATCCTATATACACCTGGGCTGAAAATATTTCCAACTGTTCTCTTCTATAGGATGTGTATACATTGTTTGTCATATAAGCTGAACATTTCCCTGATATCAAAGATAAAGCAGGGCTGAATATTTGCCCATTTTGTGATTAAAAAGGTTATTTGATGGAGATGAATATTTCTCTTGGAGTTGTATTTTTGAGAATATTCAGTTTTTCTTGTTCAGATCACAACCGCCCCCTTCCCAGATGCTCTGCTGTTTTGCCTTATCTCCCTGCTCTTGTCTGGTTCCAGTTTCTACTTCAGTTTTCTGAGCTTAACCTCATAAGGTGATTAGAAGAGATGTCATACTGACTGAGATGATGATCAATAGATTTGGTCCCCCTCATAACAATAGGAGGGGAAAAAAGTAAATTGAGACTGAAGATAATGCATCATCGGGTAATTACATAAATGATCCCCGACAGTCAGGAATCAAAACATAATATGAGGATTGTGTGTAAGAGAGAGAGGAAAAAAAAACCAAAGATATGTTTCTTATGTCTTAAGGTATGTGATGATGTCCCTGAGGGCAAACAAAATCACAGGGGTGAGGGGATGGGGGAGAATTAAAAAGAAAAGAAAGGGCAAGGTAAAAATACACAGGCAAACATTGTCATAGGCATCATACAAATTACAGCTAGTCCTCGTTAGTGACCACAATTGGGACGGTCATTAAGCAAAGCGGTCACTAAGTGAACCCACGGCTGTGTTTACAATCTTCCTTCAGCTTTCCTTTTCTTTATAGACCTGCAAGGATTGTAAATGCAAGGATTGGTCGCAAAGTTACTTTTTCATCACCGTCGCAACTGTGGTCACTAAACAAGGCAGTTGCTAAACGAGGTCTACCTGTATTGAAACAGGGATATCTTTTCAGAGACCGTCAAAACGATCCCCCCTAAAAAATGAGTACCTTCACTCTGCTCTCCTATGCTGTGGTGGGGACAGCCTAATTCCTTGTTAGGCAGAAGCCTTCTTGGGCAGGGAGAAGCTACCTGTTGCTTACTTTGGCTAAAGCTTTCTTCTTCTTGGAAGAGGAAAACCAAACCTGCCCCTCTCCCTTTCTCTGTATAAGGTACACCTGTCCCTTTTAAAAAACACATGTAAAACTATGGCTTTAGAATAATAACAAGAATAAGAATAAGAATAAAAAGTTGTGTAGACTGCAGCTCATTCATCTTTTCCATCCCTTTGGAGGCATCGTCTAGAAGTGAGGATGTACAAAATCAGGAATGGAGGGGCGGGCGGGGCTCAAGGGGATGGCCAGGGACTGGAGCGGAGCATGGGAAGGGAGGGGGGTGAGAGTGGTGAGTCTAAATTCCCCATTGGTCAATGAGAAATCCATTGCTTTACTGTCCACGGACAGGCTGGCAGTCTGTCGCAGTTTACTTCTTAAACATATCCTGCAGTGGACCCGGCAGGTATTTAATAACGGTATCTAGGATGCTCTCCTCTTCCTCCTCTTCCTCATCCCCACAGCCCGGCGGGATGGCCTTCTTGGGGCGCGTCAGGCTGCCTTCTGCATTTGCTTCCAGAGCAGCTTGGGCCTCTGCTTCCCTTTCCTCCTTCTTCTTAATGCCGTACTGCAAAAGGGAGAGAAAGAACAGATGCGGTCACCCTCTTCGCCAGTCCCTTGAACCGCAGTCAGAGAGGATGCCTGGCGAATGTCAGCGTTGGCTTTGGGGCAGATCACGTCCTGCCAGAGCCCATTCTGGCTGATGCTGCACCCAGCCTTTAAATCAAATAATAGTTTTAAATGTCAGGCTAGGCGGTGAATGATAAAGCTAAGGCAAGAAGGGATAACCTCCGCTAAAGCAAAGAAACATTACATATCAGCTAAAGCCTCAGACTTTCCTGCTCTGCCACACAAAAATTGGTACTGAGACTTTGTCTTTTAAGCCCATTGTAATGTGTCGGGTGACTATGCAATCACACATGTGGCTTTCTTGCTGCTGGGGGTTGACATTTGAGGCTGTGCAACCAGGGGGCAAAACTGAGAATTACTGGCACACCCTCAGTGCTATCCACTTTTCATTCTAGATGAGGCAGCTGAAATGTTCAGACCCAGTTGAAGTCGGCCTTCTGGTCTTCTCTCCCCAACACTGCCAGTTTGCTTGTCATTCATTGCCCTTGATTAGGGTAAGCCTGGGATGAATGAATTGTCCCACCAGCCACGCCAGGCTTTTCCCAATTTGGGGAAGGCTCTATAACTCTATATGGCACCTGCCCGTTGTATCTTTCACCCCTAAGGAGGGACTACAGGCACCTGCAGGATCTGATGCTTTCATCCACACGACAAAAACACATTGTGGCCTTGAGCTGCAAATGCCACCCCTTGTAATAAATGGCCAGAGCCACCCCAGCAGCAAAATGGCCAGGGCCACATTCCAATCCATGGAGCTCCATCATGAAAAAGGGATGCTCACCGTTGCTAGAAAGTAAAATGCTTACACCTCTTTTTTTAGAAATCACAGAATAAATAATCTGGGTTAAAAAACAAAACAAAACAAAAACAACAACGATATCACATCCATGGCCTTCAGCTTTGATTCTTAGGTACAGACTCTCAGTCTTGAAAATATCCTGCAGCAATGCGGTGTCATTTCAGTTATGCAGCATTAAGGATGCACTTCACAAGCAAAATGACTCAGGGAGGTCAGATCATCTTCTATGAAATTACTCGTCTGTTGGATCCAAAAGTAATTGCTTTGCCTAAATGGTCCCCATACCTTTTCTTGTTGGCTTTGCATTCTAATTAAAGTACTGTATGGAAATCTTGATAAAATCCAATATACACATGCAAAGGATAGTTGGTTAGGATAAAGTCTTTAGGCTAGCAAAACATATGATGAGAATAAGTGACCCCCTAAAAAGTAATTACATGGGATTTCAAACAGATTAAAGGATTATTTTAGGACAAATTGTTCAGCATTCCCCCTAATTGAATATGTAAGGTGCAGATGTTCTTTTGATGGCTTTTTTTTTTTTTAAAGAAAAAAGAACTATTAAATTAAGCTAAAGTGATTAGCAGCCCTGCCAATAAGTCACCTCCATGAGTTATCGGCACAGAAATAAGCTCTGCCTTTCCAGAGAAGAAGATATAGCCAGCATGGCCCCAAGAAACTCCTTGATACTTTTTTGTAGTAATTAATTCATTCAGCCACTTGATTAAAGGCCAGTTGCTTCAAAGTTCAGCAATCAGCATTAGGACTGCAACAACTTAAAGTAACTACTTCCCCTGAAATTAGTCAGATTTGGTCCTAATGCTACCATAGGATCACCTGATCTATTTGTGCAGATCTTGGCTGAAAAGAAGTAACCTTAATAGTTGCTTCCACTGTTTACTATGAGAATTTAACTCCCCCCATTAAAAACAAACAAACAAACTGATACCCTCTAGATGCTTTAGGTCACAGTTTCCACAAGTTCTCCCATTCATAATGCTGGTTGGGGTTGATGGGAGCTGAATTCCAAAACCCATGGAGGACATCATGTTGTCTACCAGAGATATAATGTTACTCAATCTAAAGAAGAATACACAAGTACCACAACCATGTACTAATACCTGCTAGGTGGCTTTCTCTCAACCTCAACCATCCTTCTTCATCTGCAAAATGGAAGGATATTACATTGCCTAGTCTAAAGTAGACTACATGTTGTATTTTGCCACTTGAGTGTGAAAACTTTCCTTCCATTGAAATAGTGGGTAAGTGAGGCAAGAGGATCCAGTTTTGTTGGAATCCAGTCATTATGGGACAAAGGGTCAAAATCAGCCCTATGCAGAAACATTTCCACCATGGCCATAACCTAACCTAGTTCAGACTTCTCCTATCCCAGCTATTTCATGGATAGATGATAGAGAGACAGACAGACAGATATTGCATTTAGCTTGGCCCGAAGAAATACTCTGAATAGTTGAAACTGCTTTACAAATGTTAATGGTAATTTAAAAAAAATGAAATGTAAATAAAAAATACTTTAACTGCACCGTAGCTGAAGGCATATGTTACATTTCTTGCAAGTCTTTATCATTGACTGGCCATCACCCTCCACCCTACAAACATAGAATTAATAAAGGGGAACATGGTTTCATGGACAGAATGGACATCCTCCCTGCAGATCTTGAACCCTGAAATCTTTCTTCTACTTAGAAATAGTTCATTGCTCCTTCCCAAGGGCATGTTTCTTGGCACAAGTATTCCCCCATTCAGTCAGAAGCTTTTGAAAATCAGCCCATTCATTGCAAGACAATAACTTTCAATAGACTCAATACTGCCAGCTTCTCAAACAGGATCAAGCACATTTTGATTCCAGCATTCTTCCCTCTGTCTGTCCTATGGATACATTTCACCTTGCATGTAGTTTGACAGGTGCATCCATCTCTGCATACTTTTTCTCTTTGCAAATTATGTTGTGGGTTTCCCCCCTCAATGTGCCTGTTGATTTCTTATTAATTTTCCACATGAAGAGAGGAATTTAGAGAATCAGTAACTTGGACACCTCCAGCAGGAGAGAAGGTTGGGCATTTACCAGGATCCAAGATTAGAGACATGGGAAGACCAAAAGTAATGTTAGAGAATTAGAACAAATGTCTATTAAGAGGGCTCAGTGGAGATGAGCCCCCATCCAGAAGTCAGTAGTCTTTTGATCTAACTCATTGTGGCTTATATGGAGCTTGAAATTAAAAACAAGAAGTCTCATTTTTCAAAGCCATTCCCTATCAATCTGCGACTGACAGCCCAATGCCATGCCTGGTTAGGTGGAAGTAAATTCAACTGAGTTCAGGAGGACTTCCATCCAGATACAAGGAGGAAGAATTGGAATTGCTGGTATGTATATATTACTTCAGGTTGTTTCCATATATAGGACCTGAATGTCATATACAGTATTGGTTGTGTGGGTAGGGTCCCTGGAGATGATGGTGGTGATGGAGTTGCAGTAAACAGCTTTTGTTCAATGAGTGCTAGTGACAGGTTTTAAAAGGCCATTAAGGAAGTCCCCTCAGGGCTTCTCTCTCATTTCCTCCTCCTTTAAGTCAACATTAATGTTCATCTCTGGGCCTTAGGGACAGGTCAGGTGAATAAGCAGGTGACAATAACCAGATAGAAAAGAAGGAAATCTAGGGGGTCTCAGTGCCTTGGCAGATGCCAACCATCCTGATCCTTAATGCCAGTCTTGCACACACACCAATCGCCTGGTAATATTATTTTTAGGCTATCATAAATCCAATGGACACCTTCACGAAAATATCCTGGGCAGAAAGGTATCACACGTTGAGGGTCACTGAATCCCCAGCTGCCGTTTGTTTCCATAATTAATCCACTGAAGAAAAGAAGACAGAGATGAACCATAATTATGCAGAAGAAAAGGAGATGGAGATGAAGCAAAAGGAATAATTAATGACTATACATAATGAATTGTATCCTGAATATTTGCCTGTGGCTATTTTGAGGACAAAATGGGGAAACAGGATTTTCAAGGGCCTCTACTTGTTTTTCCTTGAAATGCATATATGTTTGTTTGCCAGCCCCTGAAACATAATTAAAAGTTTAATTAACTTAGGGGAGAGGTATTTTTGCAGCAGCTGAAAAGTTTGGTCTCTTTCCTAGTCTACAGTTCTTGCCTTTGTTTTGTTCATCATGTTTGTGAACCCTTCAATGAACTTGGGGACTGCTGCCTTTATTGGCTTAAAAAAAAAAGGTCTCCGTTACTTTCACTTTTCCATTGTTCTTCGATAAGCCGTTCCATTCCAACAGGCCATCAGAACTCAACTTCCCTTATATTTCCTGAAGGAATGAGGGCAAAGAACCTTTTCTTCCTAAAAGGCCACAATTTTTATTGAACATGGTGATACAGCATTGTCAGCTCCTGACAGAGTCCTCTAGCGCTGCTTCTTCACTTGCTTGGGCCCAGGCAAAAAGAGATATCTGTGTCAGCCCGTAAGGGTAGGACAGGTCAGAAACAGGCATGGTAGGGATTCCAGAAAGGCTCTTTATTACAGTATGGCAGAATAACAGAATTTTGAAAGTCTGCCCAACTTTCTCTCCACCCCATCTTATACTAAACAAAATTGAGGCAGTTTCTTTCTCACGCTCCCGTTTTTCTCAGTTGTCTAATCTTTTCACAGAATCCCCCCTTAATTGCTCATCCCTTCCTTATTCTCAAGGTTAGCTCTACATTTTTTTGCAAACTGGGACTGCCACTTCATGCTCCCATATCTAGCTCTCCTGGTGGGGGCAAGGGCCTAAAGGTAAATGGTGAGCCCATCCAACATCTTGTCACCTTCTTCCCAAAAGGGTAGCTGGCAATGTTCTTAGGGACTCCTGAGCAGACAGTACCAGGCTCAAACAAGAGTCTCTAATGTTTTATTTTTCAGAGTTTCAAGGCCAGTTCAGCACCTGGAGCCACGGTTAAGGTTAGGGTTAACTAGGCATGACACATTTCTTGCAATTAGCAAATCTGGCAATTAGGAACTAAGATCTGACGGTGGAGGGATGTATGATTTAAATTTTGCCCTAACAGCAGTCCTGATCTGGACTGTGTTAGCCCTTTGAGGTAGTCTAGACAAGAAGCACAAGGAGGG